CCAGGATGTACCCGGGCCTGCAGATATACACCTTCACTGAGCGCATGATGGCGTACTGCGACCAGATCTTTCAAGATGAGACCGGCAAGAACCGGTGAGCCTGGGCCTGCCTTCCTCTTGCCTGTGTGGGGGGGTGTCAGCCGTGATGGGGGCAGTCTAGTCCTGCCCTCTGATGGGGGGCTGGAGGTGCAGGAGCTGTCAGTCATCAAATGTTCATCCAGATCGAGAAGCCAGTGGTAGTGAGAGGCACTGGAGCTTGGGGACATTTGGTGGAGACTTTGGCTGGAGAGATGTTAGGGGGTGCTGCTGCCCTCTGGAGGGGATGTTCTGAGGTATCAGTTGGTCTCTGAGCTTCCTTCCAGATAATAAATGTACCAATTACAGTAATATAAGCCATCTTCATGCACCTGGCTAAGCACTCCGCATCCAAAATCTCATTTTGTCCATCACCCAGAAGAGCCCTTGTGACTCCACCGTCTCAGCTTAGGAAATGGAGCTGTCGGCCTCCAGTGGTTCAGCTAGAAACTTGGGCTTTGCCTCTGAGTCACCTCATACTGCCCCCTGCCACTATATTTCGCTCTTTAATCTCCTCCCACGCCCTTAGGTATGACATTGACCCAGGCCACCATCCTTTCCTGCCTTTGCAGTGGCCCCTTGCTGGTCTCCTCCCCCCACCCCCCCAGTGAATTCAGTCCTGGCCGCCACCTGTCCTCAGCTCTCATTTCTCTCATTTGCATCACGGGCAGCATAAGTCTGTATGGACTGTTTCTCCTCCACTTTTACCCACCATGCTCTGCTGCCCCCTGCTGTCTCCCCAGCCTGATCCTCTAGATGAGAGGACCATCATCCTGGGCTTGCTCAGGCCCAGCTTGGGTGGTGAGGATGAACAGACCTGGGTTTGTTCAGCCTTGTCCCCTGCCCACTGCTGGGCCTCTCTAGAGGTCGAAGTGCATGGCCCTGGGCTGGGAGGGTAACAGTGCTGCCGCTCTGAGTGTGTGGGTGTCGGAGGGGCCAGCTGACAGTGCGCCCGCCTCCCCAGGAGGCAGTCTGGCTCCTTTCTCAGCACCGGTTGGTTCACCATGATCCTGGCCCTGGAGCTGTGTGAGGAGATCGTGGTCTACGGGATGGTCAGCGACAGCTACTGCAGGTCAGAGCAGCTGGCCTGGGTGGGAAGGGAGCAGGGGGGACTCTGGGCCCCTGTAGAAGGCCTAGGAGCTGTGGGGGCTTCATAATGGGTGTCCAAGGCATAGACACCCCAGGGCCTCGGGCCTCAGGGCAGCCTCTGGACAGGGTGGACACTGATCCCAGCTGCCAGTGTAGCCTCGGGCTGTTCCGCCTCTCCCAGAGCTTCCACCTATTCAGGTATAAAATTGAGAAAATAGAGGTGGAACCCTTGCTGAGCATGGGTGGTACCCTCGGTTCAAACCCCAGCCCCACCACAAACAGTATAATATGTGTATATATGTTATATAATGTGTATCAGCCATAGGCAAGTTTCTACTCTTGATAGTTTCAACATCATAATATATTTTTTTAAATATTTTATTTACATTTTAGTTTTCTGCAGACACAATATCTTTTTTTTTTAAAGAGAGAAAGAGAGAATTTTTAATATTTATTTTTTAGTTCTCGGCAGACACAACATCTTTGTTTGTATGTGGTGCTGAGGATCGAACCTGGGCCCCACACATGCCAGGCGAGCGCGCTACCGCTTGAGCCACGTCCCCAGCCCTCAACATCATAATATTAAGTTCTGATGCAGATTATAGTAGTGTTGGCTAGCACTGTTACATTACTCTATTTTAATGTCACCATCACTGATGAGCTCAGGAAGGGTATTCTCCCTCTGTTCTCTTTGGGATTCGTTTGTTGAGCATGAGGAGGGAACGACAGAAGTCCAAGTGCCCCTGCCAGGGCCCTGGCCCAACTGCTGGCCTGCACGGTGCCCCTGGGTAGGTGGGTGTGCGGGGCTGGCTGCACTGCGCCTCTGGCCCTCCCTGTGAGCCCAGCACCAGCAGAGCGCTTTGCTGTCTTCATCCTTCGATCGGCACCCTTGTCCTGGAAGATGGGCGTCACCATCTCCATTTTGCAGATGGGCTGTTGAGATTCACAAGGTGTATTTATGACCCAGAGTCGCTCAGCTTGTGAGAGGCATCCTGGGGCTTTGAATCCTGGCCTTTGGGTTCCATGAGCTGCCCTGCTCCTCCCCTATCTGGGGTGGGCTCCCCTGGGACCAGGCCTGGGTCTCTGTGGGCCCACAACACCTAGGGAGGAGTGGTCACGGGAGGCAGGCAGCTCTGGTGCCCCATGCCTGTCCCACACGGGCTTCCTTCCCCACCCCACAGGGAGAAGAGCCACCCCTCGGTGCCTTACCACTACTTCGAGAAGGGCCGGCTGGACGAGTGTCAGATGTACCTGGCACACGAGCAGGCGCCCCGGAGTGCCCACCGCTTCATCACCGAGAAGGCCGTGTTCTCTCGCTGGGCCAAGAAGAGGCCCATTGTGTTTGCCCACCCGTCCTGGCAGCCCCAGTAGTCCCTGGTGCTGGCTGGCTGGCTGGCTGTCCTGCCTCCRTAGGCCTGCGTCCCAACCCAGGCCACCACACTCCATCAAGAACATGTGATTTATGACTCTTGCCTCCTGCCACATACCAGAGCACCTAGGGATCCTTCCTACCCCGGCCTGGGGATACTTGGAGCCATCTCTTGTCTCATAACTTGAGGGGGAAGGGGAGGAGCTTTCTCTGCCACTCCCATTCCTGAGGAATCCATGTCTTCATTTTGGGGCTCATCCCACCACCAGGTCTCTCAAGTGTCCTTTGCCCTGGGGCCAGTGGCCCCCTCACTCACCAGCATCATGACCTTATGCCAGTCCTGGTCCTTCCTTTACCCACCCCAGCTGCCTATGGTGCCACATTCTTGGGCTGGTGGCCCTATTGAGGCAGCCAGCAGCCTGGGGTTTCTTGGTGCAGGGGCCTTTGGGCAGTGCTTGCCAGGGCCTCTCTGGAGCGTACGGGTAAACGTGTTTTCTGGACCCTGTCTCTTGTGCTGATGTGTCTGGGGTGGGGTCTGGGGCTTCTCTCCCTGATGAAATCCCCTAAGCTGTGCCCTTGGGGGCTGCTCCTGTCCGTGGCCCTCCTAGGCTCGCAGCTAGCTGGGCTGCCTGTGTGTGTTTGCTAGCAGTGCCAGTCCTGCCCCTGTCCCACCGGCCAGGTCTCCTCAGTGTCTGGCCCCATGACTATGTTGGCCCGGGAAGCTGGCTCCAAGTCAGAGGCCTCTTTGGGACCCCTGCTCTGCAGAGGCACAGCCAGGGCCAGAGAGATGGGAAGGAAGCGCCTCCACCCTGTGTTGCCTTCCTGGCCCGTGGGTCAAATTCCGGCGATTTTGCCACTTAAATTCCTATTAAGTCTAGTCTTGTCCCTTTGTGGAACAGAAAAGCAGGCAGCAGTGGGGAGCTGCCCAGAAGTGAGGCTGGGCCTGGCCTGAGGTTGGGGCCTTTCTGCCCTTGAGCTTCATTTTCTGAAGCTGTGAAGTGGGAACAGAAGACCCACCCCCAACCAGCCTTGGGCGGGGGTCTGAAGCCACTCCTGGAGGTGGCTGGGTTTTACCTGCGTCACAGATGAGGCCGCCACTTGGCTGAAGCCAGACAGCCAGGGGATGGCTGGGCCAAGATGCAGTCTGGCCTGAGAGCTAGGCCCCAGGCCATGGCCTATACCAGGGGCTGGGAAGAGCCCCCAAGGGCTTGGCCTGCCCCTTACATCATAGGGAGACCAGGAAACTAAAGGATGGAGCCCTGGGGTTAGCTCTCAGGTCCAGGGATCAGGCCCCTCTTAGATGGGACCCGCATAGTCACCCAGAGCCCATACTTAGCCTAGCTTAATCCCTGTTGCCAACTTGAAATTCTTGGTAATTTTTTACCCAAGGGGCCTTATATCTTCATTTTGCACTGGAACCCACAAATAATATCCCCAGTCATGCCAAGAGCTGAAGGTGACCCCATGCATCTCCCCCCACCCCTGCCTTCTTGGGAGAAGCTGGAGGCCTGGCTCTGGCCCCACAACCTTGGCACCCTCTCCCCCACACCCCCAGTGCCAGGCAAGCCCAGAAGGCTTCACATGGGTGGGAAGAGGAAGGGGGCCCTGAGCTGGGATCAGGCTGGTAACATAACCATATCCCCTGGCCTGGAAGGTGAAGGTCCCCAAGCAGGTGCAGGGCGGAGGTGAGGGCGGGAGGTGAGGCTGTGGGGATTTCTAGGCCCAGAGGGGCCTCATTCTCCCTCCATTTCCTGCTGGGGCCATTTCATCTTCTATAAAAGGTATTAAAATACCTAATCTCACCAGATTGTAGAGCTCAGACACTGAACTGCCCCTGGGGCTTATTGTTTGTGGGTTGTTTGTTTGGGGGCTGGAGGACTGAACCTAGGGCCTTGTGCATGTTAGGCAAGCACTTTCCCATTGAGCTGTACTCCTACCCCGGCCCCTGGGGCTTAGAACATAGTACTTGATAGGTAGGACTCTTGTTTTGGTACTGGTGATTGAACCCAGGGCACTTTACCACTCACTGAGCCATATTCCTAGTCCTTTTTAGTAAATTATTATTATTATTATTTTTTTAATTTTCAGACAGGGTCTTGCTGAGTTGCTAAGGCTGGCCTCAAACTTGTGATCCTCTTGCCTCAGCCTCCTGAGTCACTGGGATTACAGGCATGCACCGTTGTGCCTGGCTGGGAGCTGTCATTTAAATGGGGTTGTCCTCCCTCAGCTGGCTTTGACCTGCCTTGGTGGTGACAGAGGGACAGCAGCAACTCTACCCCATGAGTGGTCTCCCCACTCATGGCCTCATCCTAGGTGCCTAAGGCCCAGGCTGCTGCTGGTTCTGATGGGACTGGAACTCGGTGTTCTCTCACTCTCTGGGTGACTGCCTCCTTTTCCACCTCCATGCTCCCAGCATATGCTGATCTCGAGCACACAGGCTCCTGTGTCCTGGCCCTTCCCCTGGGTGGGGCGTTTACTGTGGGGTTGGTTCAAATAGTGTCTTCCTGGGGTGGTACTCTGGTAGGAGAGGGCGAGAACCACTTCCTTCGGGCATGTGAAGATGGCCCCTGACAGGTCTGGCCTCTGTCTGGGGTCTGCTGAAGGCTCTCTGAAAATGAAACTGAGGAGCCCCTTCCTTCATCACTGCAGACCCTGCGGCTGCTGGAAGGTAAGTGGCGAGGGTAGGGGCAGGAGCCGCCCCACATCCCTAAGGAGTAGGGGGACACCTAGGCACGAGTCCCTATTTTGGACCTCTGTTTCTGTCCACACCTTAGATCCTTTGCCCCTCAGCAGACTTGGGACCTGTCAACTTGCACCGGAACCTGGTCTCGAGCCTGGAGAGCCTCACAGCCTGAGGCCTCCTAAGAGGCCTGGGGCCAGGCCGGGAGCTCCTGCTCCAGCTTGTCTGCCCAGGTGTGTGAGAGAGACCAGGCCTTCTGCGTACCAGTGGGCACGGTGTCCGGGGTCTTCTGGGCCTGTCTGACCACAGCAGGCCATGTCTGGGAAGAACCAGGTACTTCCCCGTCCCAGGCCACTGTGCCAGGTTTTGGGAGCACTTGCTTACGGTGCAGCCCTGGGTCCAGGTGCCCACCTGCCAACTGTTCTCTCAGACCTCATGTCCAGGGGCCCCTCCTGTGGGCTCCTCTGCCAAGGGAGTCCCCAGTCCTGGCTCCCGAAGACCTCTGTGCAGGTCCTGCTGGGGAATCTTGAAAAAGTCCTGTATGCTCTCTGGATCTTAGTTTTGGTTTTTGTAAACTGGAAACTGGGGTGCAAGTGAGGAGATTTCTTAGGACTCTTTCCAGAATATCATGGAAGGGAAAAATCTCAAGGGCTCAGTTCGTTAAGAGGGGCTGGGGATGCAGCTCACTGCCCAAGCATATGTCTAGCATGCACAAGGCCCTGGCTCCGCCCCCAGCACTGCAAAAAGAAAACCAAAACTTTACTAAGAGGCAGGAAGTGGATGTGTTAGGACCCCCTCCCCCATTTCTGGGGCAGGAAGGGTTGCTCCCAAGGCCAGCTCCTTCAGAGAATAGGGTAGGAACTGGAGAGAGGAGCTGCTCTGGGCAGGCCAGGAAGGACCCCAGGACTGTTCAAGACACCCATCTAGGAGGCCCTGGTGTGGGGGCCCCGGGTCTCTTGGGCTTGGGTGCAGAACAGCTCTGCGGGTATTAGGCCTAGATGAAGCCCAGCAGGATCTCGAGCCTCTTTTCTCTGGAGAGTGGAAGGAACAGCAGTGCCCATGTCATAGTTTATTTAGGGATTTCGTGAGGTGTGTTTRCACAGGGCTTAGCAGAGTGGGCAGCCAACCAGCAGGAGGGCTCCTTTTCCCATCCTCCTTATCCTTATTGAGGTGGTGGTTCTTGTGCGGGCCAAGGAAGGAAGCCCGCCCTGAAGCACAGCCTCCTGAAATAACCCTGGGCCCAGGACACAGCAGGCCTCATGGGGGAGCTCCAGGTCCGAATTTCGTCTAGGTCTGAGCTGAAGCACCCCTTCTATTCCGAGGGTCCCAGCCTGGGTTAGGGACAAGGCGGGGGACTGCAGGCTTCCACCTGTGGTCCAGCCGTTGACCTGCGGAGTGGCCCTGGGCTAGGAAACCCAGCAAATTCACCAGGCTTCTCTCGCCTGACTGCCCGGCCCTGTTTTGTGGCTTCCGTTCTGGCCGGCAGGGTGGAGTCATGCAGCCTGAGAGGGATGGGTGGGGAAGGGACTGGCTCAGGGAGCAAGGAGGTGGGCACCAGGGGAGCAGGAAGCTCGGGTCTACCGTCAGACCACCCAATTCCTGAGCCTCCCAAGTCGCTTCCAAGGCGGTGCTTTTACAGCTTGGAGGCTGAATATTCCCCCCTCCAGCTCCAACTGACTTTTAATTTAAAACAAGGTGTCAGAAACTTACCAGTGCAAACAACCTAGACGTTTATGAAGCTAAAGTGAAGGTAGCATATTCCCCTCTGGACACACCTCCGCTCTGTAGTCTGTGTGGACCCTTCCCAAACAAACATCGTATATGGGTCATTTATTATTATTATTATTATTATTATTATTATTATTATTATCTGAAAACAGGAAGGAAGGAAAAGGAAAAAAGAATCCTATATATGTAGTTCAGTTTTAGAAATATACAGTTTTATGGGTTCAATCCTCAGCACACACACACAAAGAAAGAAAGATACAGTTTTAGCAGGAAATGTGGTGCAGGACTGAAATCACAGCAACTCTGGAAGCTGAGGCAAGAGGATCACAAGTTCAAGGTCAAGGTCAACCTGGGCAATTTAGATCCTGTCTCAGCAGGCTGGGGTTGTAGCTCCATGGTAGAGAGGTTCTGGGCTCAATCCTCTGCTTTTCTTTTCTTTTCTTTTCTTTTTTTTTTTTGTACTGGGATTGAACTTGTGTGTTCTACCACTGGATTTACATCACCATCTCTTCCTTTTTTTTTTTTTTTTTTAAATACTGGAGATTGAAGTCAGGGGCACTAAATCAGAGTCACATCCCCAACCTTTTTGTATTTAATTTAGAGATAAGGTCTCACTGAGTTGCTTAGGGCCTTGATAAATTGCTGAGACTGACTGAATTCTTGATCCTCCTGCCTCAGGCTCCAGAGCTGCTGGGATTACAGGTGTTCATCACTGCGCCCAGCTATAGCACTTCTTCTTCTTCTTTTTTGTTTTGTTTTGGTGATGCCGGGGATTGAGCCCAGGGCTTTGTGCATGTGAGGCAAGCACTCTACGAACTGAGCTATGTCCCAAACCTAGCCCTTCCTATTTGAAAGACAGGGTTTTGCCAAGTTACCCAGGCTGGCCTCAAATTCATAATCCCCCTGCCTCAGACTCCAGAGTCACTGGGAACCCAAGCTCTTGCCACCCCACCTGGCTCTAGAACTGTTTTTGACTTTTGTGTTTTAAAAGTTGAATCACTGTGATAGGCAAAAGCTCTCTTGTCTCTGGCTACTAAGAGGTGGGCTGCTGCCCACTTGAGGCCTGAACAATACTGTAGTTATATTCCTCTTCCCACATTTATCTTT